TTTCCCTACCATATCGTGGGACTTTATTGATGTCCATATAAAAAAACAATAAAAGACGCCAAATTTAGACATAGTTGGTTACAAATTAAAATTATTTAACAATCGATCAAATTATAAAATCGCAAATTTAGAAATCAATTTCACAATTGTAGTTTTCACGTTATATTTGTTAAACGAAAGAATTTTATAATCGATCGCATAATTTATCGAGAATTTCCGGATAGCGATAAACTGTTTACCAGAAAAACTTATCCCTTAAGTATCTATTAAATTTTTCGAAAGATTGATTATAATCTTCGTTTTAAACAGGTATAGAAAAATTACGATCTACGAGCATTGAAGCAGGCCCTCGGGCTCCTCCTTGCGGACCATAAGGCCCAATGTATCACAGGTAAACAGGATCTCAGAAATCGAAAGAAGTAGTCTCTCTCGGATGGAACAGGTAGAAAGAGGTGTGAGTCGTACAGCTGTATAATATGAATTTTAAATTCTAGCGATTGTTATACCGAACTCGATTTTTCACGCAGATATAATTAAAACTAGTATAATAAGAGAAAAATAATTATCTGGAACATAATCCGAATGAGTTCGAGATGAGAATTGGATTAATGTAAAACACGTATTTCAATGGCCATTTCGATGTTAGATGTAAGAATTTAATGTATACCTACATTTAAAATATATATTTAATGATTCGTCGTTTTGAAGGTCACATTGAATCGAGGCGTAACAAGATTAGTGCAATTCCTGGAAATGCGTCTACTTCTTTGTGTATCAAAGACCTCCCACAGCGTTGCGTCTCCAATTCTTCGACTAATACGATCAATTTTCAAGATAGGTATTATTCAACAAATCTGAACGCATAATCGTGTCTAATCCTCGTGATTATTTCAACAATTTACACACAAGTCAATTATACAATTTTATCATTCGATATACTTACAAATACCATCATCCATATTTGTTTCCGCTTATATCAGCATTTGGAATCACTAAATATTCTACACGTTGTATTTCATTAAATCGAATACACGATTTATCACATACACAAAACTGTTGAACACATTATACGTTACCGAACGTCAACGTTGAACAAATCACACTTACTTTTATAACGTTGAAAACTGTGAAAAATACCTTATCATCTGTTACCGAATCTATTTCTCTGCCGAAATATTTTATTTTTTCCTACTAACTACAGTATAATTCACTTCTTTATACAAGCTTTGTCACGATATCGTGCAGCACCAAAAACTTTATATACACGATCATACGTATCAGTTATTATTAAAATAACACCTCATCGTAGTTTTAGAAAACATATTTTCAATGTTAAACATTTTAAAGAATTCCTTTTCTAATTAACGAGACTTTAAATACTTCCCCAGGGACGAACTATCGATCCATACACGTGGTTGAATCTGGTTAAACGAGATTCTAACGAATAGTACGAGACAATGTACATATTTCGTTAACAAAGAACCTTATTCGGTGCAGTCTGTCGCGTTACTGTAAGGTGTTGAGAAGCTTGCCCTCGTAGGCGATCTTCTTTCTAGAAGTCAGCGCCGACGCAACAAATATCAAATTTGTTCGAACATCGAAAAGTAATTTCGATGTTACTAATTTGCAATCAAATTTATTGCAGAGGAATTTATTACAGATGTGTAGACTACGCAAATCGGTAAATATTCATAACTGTATTAAATTTTGAAAAGCTTTTGAAAAGCTTTTGAAACACAATTTACGTGTTCATAAAGTATAAAGTTTCGAATATGAAATACGCAATGAAAAAAGATATAAACGATATGCAATTAAAATATTCGTTTCCAGAGTTTATATACATCCACTGCTGTTCCCATGCGAAATATACTTACCAGAAATACCGCACGTGTTCTAAAAATATCGTCACGTGCAAATTATATGCAGTGAAAATGAAAGAAGAATGATGTTTATCGATATTGAAAATTATGCAAGTGACATATATATTATTTGTATCAAATTGTTAGTAAATGAATGTATCTTGAAAATATTAGAAGAAGAGATCGAATAGACGAAATGGAACGTACAAGTTCTAACAGGAAATAAAAAAATCATTAGATATGTCGCTAACTGACACACATTCGTAATTAGGGATTTTGAAGTAGTGTTCGAGAGACTTTCAAGGCTAATACTTCAAAATCTTGGGAAATGATAAGACGCATCATCGATGACATTCAATAGATTTGCTTCACCTTGAATTGTCAGGAAAAAAAATGTAATACAATTCATATTGTACCTAAAGACATAATAATACATAGAATAATAATAATAATAATAATAATAATAATAATACATAGAAAATAATTGTGCATAAAGATTTCTTTCATAGATAAGGTTAATAATATAATGTCTAAATTGTGAATTATAAAATTAACGATGCAACTTTCATGTATAATATTGAGAATACGTTGTATTAATTTCTGTTCAGAGAAATTTGTAAATAGATAAATTGAAGCATGATGATACGATAAAGGCTACTGTATGGCAACAGCGACTTTTCCTGTATGTTGCATATCTTTACATTGCAGAACAAGGTAAAACGTGGTGTGAAACGTGATCGCGTTGATCACTTCTATTTATAATTACGTAAATGGCATGTAGTACTTGTAACGAGTACGCGTTCCTAACAAATGAATGAACTAAATAGTATGTTACATTGATACTATTAAACTGTATCAGAAAGATGATTAACATTTTGTCCTATTGTTGGATAGCCTTAATTATTTGTATCGATGAATGTACTTTCCTTGCATTATTTTTAAACCACGAAAAATTGTTATATTAAGGGAAACTAATATTACTTTCTTAAATACATATTTTCTGAATTTTTAAATTACCTTTAATGCAAGAAATTTGCTCCTCGACGTTCTCACCTTGCCATGGATCTTCCTGAATTTGAACAATCCAACGAATTTTTCTCGATTGCATCTGAAAGGATGTATGACTTTTGTTAATAAAAAAGAAAACTCTTTTCGCGACAAAATATTGCTCGTGTAACAAAATCGAACTGCATCAGATCAGTATTTCACACTAGTTTTGAAGTCGATATATTGGTATTGGCGTATGATTATTTTTTACAGATAAAGTGTTTACAGATAATGCGAGTTGAAATAAGCTTCCGCAAACGCAATTTTAACCTTAATTAAATACAATTTAGTATAATTTATTTCTTTTAACGCATTTTAATTTTTTGGCACTATGTTAATACATTTCCTGAAAATTAATATTTGCTACTGTTAAAATTACAGATTGTTAAATATGTTCAAGGAGAGTGAAATAAATTGCAAAATTTACATACTAAAAATTATGGAGTTATATTGAAAAATTTGTAGTTCAATTCTTAAATTTCAACGTTTACGATGACTTGATAGAGTTATCATTAATATAAAATTAGTATGATATGCGTGTACCAATGATTAGATGTTAAAGATTAGGTATATCGTACCGGGAATTAAATCAAAATGTAAATTGTCGTCCCACACGAATGAATCTGTGAACACGTGAGTAATACGAGGATAATTACCTTAAATATCGTTGAGGCACATCACAAAAATGTTTGTAAACGTGATCTTCATAGAACCGCGACTGAATACGCAGTTGCGGGCAATACTCCTTCCACACTGACAATGATTTGTCTGTCAACGGAAGTGACACTCTGTATTGTGACTATCTGGTGGTTCGTTACATCGACCATGCGTGTTTGAATGTCGACTTTGCTAAGAAGAATTGTCAGAACTTCTACACCCACGGATCTGCTAGTTATATGTGTGGACAATCAGAGCTTGCATCCACGAGATATTCTGACACAAGTACGAATCACTCTTAAATTCTCCTCTGTTATTCATTGAAGAACACTATTCACTGTTAATCCTTTTAGCATATATAACGCACCGGTATTATAAGTACAATTAAACTTGACCGAAAATGATATTGAACAAGTTTCTTTCATACACTGATATTGAAATTTTTGCATCAACTTCGATTAAATCTAAATAAGAAAAAATAAAACTATCGTTTATAATTCATAAAATCATTATTAAGTATTAAAATAATTGTTGATATTTAGTAATCTCGTATGAAAAGAATATTTTTTTAAATGACAGTTTATGAAATACATTTTATCGTTATAGTTTATAAATACTAAATGTACAGATACGTGTTTAATTTAAATTTTATATTGAGATTTTTGTTTTACATAAATTTTGGATATATTTTATAAAATAGAAAGATAATTTTAAATTAAAATATTTTAACCTGATTTCCCCGACTTGAGATGTCAAAATTTGAAGTTTCATAAATCGATCTGCGTGGTCGATCAAGCAATTCTTGAACTACGCATGCGTCAAAAATGTTCAGGATACATTATTAAGCACGAGGTGGCAATTAAAGATAAACGTAAAAGAAAACGTACGTGAATTCTAATAGGAAATAAAATAAAACGTAAAAATGTATTTGATGTATTATTTAAATGAAAATGGGGATAGAGTTTATACATTAAAGGTAAGAAGCGTGAAACGTTTTTTTATTATAGATTGTAGCATGTATGTTTATTATCGATATAAATAATATTATTTTTCTATGTTAATCTAATTTTATATTTACATATTACATTTCCATATCAAGATAAATGAGGATGTTGAATATATACTTTATGATATATATTAATATTTATAACCTCAATTTTTCTTAGATTTACTCATGCGTATTTGTTTCATAGAAAATAGATCCAAATGGGAAACCAACATTATCGGCCCATCCAGGTAAATAATAAAATTTATTTTATTCTATGAAATGTTGCAATTAATTAATATAAATAATAATTTCAGCTCGATTTTCTCCAGAAGATAAATTTTCAAGAGAAAGAATAACACTAAAACGAAGATTTGGTTTGTTACTCACACAACAACCACTACCTACTTATTAATATTCCTCTGTTATCTATAATTATATGAATTTATACCATATAAAAATAACATTAAATATAATAGCATAAATTATTAAATATGTATGTTTAAAATATACATATGACAGTTTCTACTCTATGAAATACATGCATAATTGAATTTTTAACACCTACAACTTCCTTTCTAGATAATCTAAATATCTATTATACGATAACTTAGCACATTTATGTTAAAACATTTGTACCATTTATAATTATATTTAGGTATAAATTACATTTGAAATGTGATAGATATTTTACATGTAATAGATTAATTATTCATTTTATTTAATAAAACCATTTTTTTATTCAGAGTTTAATTCATGTTAACATGTACATATAAAAAATAAAAGTTATTTTAATTCTAATCTATTGTACAATGTTCAATGATTTTGAGTAGGATACAATTTTATCAAATCATATATTAATGGGATTACATAAAAAGTGACTTTAAAATATTAATCTTAACATTATGTCAAAGATAGTTTAAAATTTTATGATCCACTGCTTATATTAGAAATATTAAGACTTTCTAAACTGATACATACAAAAAAATAATTCCTGCAAACTCAAAACTTCTACCAACATTCCATGACACATTATTCTCATTAAATACATGGTACTAAATGCAAATATTGAAACAACAATAGATACAATATTTAACATATTCAAATATCTTTAATACGCATATTCATTCATATATATATATATATATGTGTATGTGTATGTGTGATGCGCGCAAGCGCACATATTTTTTATTCATACACTATCGTTTAAAAATGACATTTAACATTTCATGTTAAAAATAATTTTTAAATTGCAAATAAATTGAAAAATATGATGAATGAATCAATTATAACATTTTATTTTCTATCTATTAATTAATAAATAATATGGAAATAAAGTTTACCATTATATTTTGCTAAAATACATTATATATTATTGAAAAATATTATTTTATCTTATAAACGTTGAATTCCGACATTTTCTAACATAGAAATATCGTATTGAGTATTATAATAATCATCTTATTTACACGATGAATGAAAATATCCATTAAATCAAAAGAAAATTTCTTAATTAACATGGCAATATAATGATACTTTTTGCAATATTCATATTTTGAATTATGAAACTAAAGAGTAAATGTAAAAATAAATAATATTTATCTTGTTCTTTTATATACTTACAGATACTTACATTTTTCACAAATATTTATTACAGAACACATCTTTATCCTTGAGCTAGATGTTGATCATTTCTCGTAACATTTTTATATTGTTTATATTATACAAACTGTATAATTTCAAGTTCTTATTTAGTGGTATGAGTATATTCTTAATAATCTTTTATACAAATTTTACAGAATTGTACTCGACAAAAAAATTAAATATTCAATCATCTTAGAATTAAAATAACAATTTGAAAGAGCTCCAAAATCGAATGAAATTATCATGAATGTTTTATCGCAAATCCAGTACACAATAATCATATTTAAAAAATTAAATATTTGGAAAATAGGAAACAATTTAAAATAATTACACTATTATATGTACACTGTGACAAAATTATAAGTACATACTTCAAAATAAAATTAACAAATTTTTACAACTTATTTTGAATTAAATCAAACAGAAAAATATGTTGATCAAATTTTACACGTGGACTATACAACAATATCAAAAAATGAATATTGTTCAATAAGTTCACTAGAATATAAATCACATTACTGCACAAAAAGCATTATACTTAGCAGCATTTTTTAACTATGAAACATCAGAGTTTTACCTACTGCTCAAATATTGTCATATTTTTTTGCGTTTAATGGCAAAACTTAAATTAATAATTACTTTTTATTAATAAACAATGATGCAAATTGAAATTTAATTTTTGAACATTGTATAAACATATAACTTTAAACAATATATATAAATTCTATTTGTTCAAAATTCAAATTTCAATTAAAAAACATAAAAACATAAACAAAATGCTATAGTAATAACTGATAAATTAATAATATTAATGTTACTCAGTATCATAGAAATATACCAAACAATGTAGAAATTGTCTTGATCAATGTGCATACAATTTGCATTTTATAATGCCATAGGTGTATTATACATTTTTAATATCAATATATCTGCATTCAATTTGCTTCTGAAGGTGCTGCTGGTAGAACGTGAACTTGCTGTGCTTTACTAGCATTGTAAACTTGGCCAGGACTGAATGGTTCTAGTCTTGAACTAGAAGCTATTTCACTTTTACGAATCATATCTTTAAAAAGTTAATAAATGTTTGCAATATAAAGTTATAAAATATAATATGAATTATGTAAGTGATCCTTTCACATTTTAGATTTTGTTAATGTTGGACTACTTACCACTTTTAGATTCTGGTGCTGGAATATATCGAGACAACCTAACAACAGGAAGAGGTAAATAACCACTGATTAATGGCATCACATCCAATGTGACACTTTGTTTTTCTAGAACTTCCAAAGACACAATACCAGCAGTACGACCACATACAGCCCACATGGCTTGATCAGCAAGAACTTCATACATTAATTGTGGTGAAGGATTTGGATTTGGACTAGGTAACATACGTGTTACTGTAAGATAAAGATGGCACATGCTACCAGCACGACAAAATTCACCTCCATTTCCAGCTGCTTCAACTTTTGAAGACACTGTAAATAAAGTCTGGAAAATGATATTATAAATAGAAACTCACCTTTTTAAGATATGTTTTAAATGAATTTTATATTTTACATTTAATCGCAATTAAATTATTATTAAAGCAAATTTTAATATAAGCCACAAAAATACATTTTACTAATTTATACTTATTAAATAAAAAGTCAGAGAAATAATTATACCCTTACCACATAATCTATAATATCAAAATTGCATCTATAAAAATTCGATGCCTTTTCCATTCTTTGTAAATTATGAATTTGTAAAGGATCATCATTGTTATATAAATCGTTCAGATCTTCAGTATCATTGATTGGTATATATTTTACACGAAAATCAGTCTTTATTGGCATCAAAGACTTTTCATCTTTACCAATTTCAAGTTCCCACATAAATGATACATTTACTCCATTACCTATTACTAATCTCTGACCAGCAATAGGATTTAAACTTTTGAAATTAACATCTATTGACGTTACTGTGGTTAATTCTGGTTCAACTAATTGTAAAAGTTGATTTGTTAATCCTGTCACAATTATTTGAAGAAATTTTCTTTGTTTTGCTGTATGGAGTTTCATATTTGACATAAGTGGCGGACCAAAATGTAGAGGTATGCTTTCTTCTAAACCCCATGGACACTGTATATTCAACTACAAAAATTTAATAATTGTAAATGTTTAAAAATTATATATGCTTTTTATTTACACATATTTCGACAAAAAATATACCTTATGTTCCATTGATAAAGAATCTTTCTTTGGTGGTAGTTCAGCTAAAACTTTAAACTTTAATCGTATTGTTTGAAATGGTTCACAAAGTGGCAGTGATATTTCTAGTTCTTTAGACATTGTTTCCTGTGAACTATCGACTTGTATTATCAATCCTCTAGATGTACGTAATCTAAGTTTCATTTCTTCTGTTATTTTTACACTCCTGCTCATAATAATTAATTCTATGTCTTGAATAAGGCCTGCCAATAAGTCTCGACCGCATTTCATGGAAATTGTAGGCTGGGTTTTAGCTACTTCATAACATAACCGAGGATTTAAAATCGGTGATAAAAACTCTAATTTTTCCTCAATAACTAATGACATTTGACCAACTTTGTAGAAACCAGGCTGATCAACACGTCTAGATAAAGTAAACGTATTTATACCTGGTTTTACAATAAATTCATCACACAACAATGCTTTGCTAAAGTCACCTTTTGCATTTACAAATGGTTTTCTATGTTTTGTACTGTCAGAACGTTTTACAATAGGTTTAGTGTTTCTGTATATAACACTAGCAGATCCGAGGCTTTTATCTTGTTTATAATCTAAATATGAATATACTTGTAATTGAAGTAAACTTGGATCAAATGATTTCATATCTTCTAGAGTACATTTAGATAACAGCGGGATTGATGGTTCAGGTGGTAATTTTGAACCTTTTTTTTTATTAGATAGTATTGGTTTCTGAATTTCTTCAACAGATATAGATGCTTTAGTACATTTTACTTCTCTAGGAAATAAACTTTGTATACATATTTCAATATTGACCATGCAATCTTGGACTACTTTATCCATCACTTTAACTTCCATACTGACTATCACAAAAGCACATCCAAGTTCTACAAGTAAGGTTTGTGGTAATGAGATCATTTTCATATATCCAAACATTTCTTCAAAATAGGAATTACGAACAGTAATGTGTAATACGTCCAAACTAGCAATAGCAGCACATATTTTTGTGTATTTCTCAACATCATCCATTCTTTTGTAGCATTGTGCTAATTCAAGTTGTGTTTGTGCTGCTAGGTGATTCCAACCTTCATCAGTGTAAGTTTTTAAAGCATCTGATAAAAATGCCACAGCTTTTTGGTTCTCTCCAAGCTCGCTATAAAATTGTGCTAGCTCTTTTCCAATTAATCTGGCTGATCTAATCCGCCCTACATGTTTATAAGTACCCATAGCTAATTCTGCATGTTCAAGATATTGTTTTTTAAACGCCTCTTTCGACGAAAGTGCTTCTTTTAATTTATCAGTGGGTGTTAATTTCCCCTCTATATGTGATTCAGAGTCTCCCATTCCAGCTATTAAATATACAACTGTGTGTAATTGCTCACTAGATGGCTCGTTTCCAGGCATTAAACCACATAATTTTCCTAAATTTCCCAACTAAAATAAATTGCAATAAGGATTTAATTATTTATAGTATTATACGTGTGGACTTCTATAATTGAAAAAAATGATGGAATTAATATTTCAACTTACTTTATCTCTAGCAAGAGCCCATAAACTGGCTGTATGTAAGGAGCAAAGATCCAGTTGTTTATTGTTATCAATATTATAAGATGATAATTGACAAGCTTGTAGTACCTCTAATGCACAAAGGAAAGACCAACATTCAATAGATCCTTCAGGTCGTTGAACTTCTAATATACGTAATTCACTTAATGTATTATGAACAAATGATAAGCACCTTTGTGCAACCTAAATTAAAGTATAGTTATATATTTATATTTGTAATAAAATTAAGCATTATACAACTAAAAAAGAATTTCAATAAAAACTCACCTCCCATGGTTTATTAAGTGATAGTAGCATGGCACACTGTCTACTGAATAAATAACTTCTAAGATCTAATAATGATGCTTTACATTCAGCAAGAAGATGTCTTAAATGATGATTTGTACCATTACTTAAATTAACACCACCCCAATTATTTAATGGAGTTTGGAATAAATTTAACCAAATTGGTGTATCTTTAAATGTTTAATTGATAGATTAATTTTATAATTTGAAAGAACTAATAACAAAAAGAATAAAAATATCATACCTCCTACATTGGAATTAAGCACAAACTGTGTAAAGAGAGCATCTAACTCATCATACTGTACTAATGCTTCATCATATAATCCTAACATTTGTAAAACAAATGCAAGTTCTTCCTGAAAGAGTACGTTATTGTTACAAACTATATATATAACTATATATAAAATCAAAATACAGAAACAATGATTAAAAATACAGGCTTGAACTAACCTGTAGTAAAAAATAGTGACAAAAATTCCAGTTTGGATGATTTCTATTTTCTCGTTGTTCTCTAATAATATCTTCAAATTGAGATAATCTTTTATCATACGCAACAAGCATTAAATAACGTATGCGAGTAATTAAACTTCTCCATGATTCAGCTGAACGCACTTCTGATTTAATTGGATTTATTACAGCACAACATCTGTATAATATAATACATACAACATATAACAGAGAAATAATATATAAAAATGTATTTATCAAGCACTTATTAATTAATTATTACTTCACCTATCACCATTTTTAGCAGCAAAATCACTGCGAATTTTGTCTAGAACTGTAGTTCTAGGTAACAATTTATTAGTTTTTTTTATATCATATGTTTCTACTATGACAATCATCCAATCTTGAATATGATATTGTGTTAATATCTTCAACCAGTTATCTATGTCTTCTCTGATGCTTGCTTTATAAGTATCTACATCCTACAATCTCAATATGAATAATTAGAAAAATATGAAACAAGTATGTAAATACAACAAATTTATTTCTAAAGATATTAAAATAGCCATAATATTAATCTACTTACAGAACATTCAGTCCAATAGATATGAAATATTGGTTGTTTTACCAGGTGCCAATCTTTCTCAGTGGGTAAAATATCTTTAGAAAATGGTAAAAAAGTTGCCCCAAGTTTGACTTGTTTAATTGGTCTACTAAATGATCTACGCCATTCTACTATATCAGAAGGTATGGCTTGAAGTAAACTGTTTTCCAATGTGGAAAATAATTTGTCATCTCCAGCATCTACATTGAGAAAGTCAATAGGCTGTATTAAATTATTATAAACAAAATTATCCTTATATAGTTATTCATATATATAATTTTATATAAATTAGCTATATTTATAATACTAATCATATATAATTAAAATAAATGATTTGGGATATAAATATAATAATAATTAAACAGAAATAAAATATTTGACATATAAAAATATTTATTACAGGAAAACGATAACCTATTTAAAATAACATATGTTGATAAATAATGGATATTAATTATGAAAAAAAGAATGTGTAAAAAGAAATATCATTTTTATGTGTTATATAGCTTTAAATGAATAATATCATAACACGAATAATCATAATTAGAAAAGGAAAAAGAAATGTCACGAAGATTGACAGTTCATTGAGGGCGTAAATAACAATACTTAACAATAGTGTCATCATCAGAAAGAGGTTAAATAAATTAATACCCTGATTAATGAACTTACAGGTAATAATTGGTTTAATATCCATAAAGATATTTGATCTACGTTCACCACCCAAAGACGACCCCCCATTGCAATTCATTTCTAAAGATTGGCAGTTGCTTCGCGAACTTGCTTTCAATCATTACAACTTTACGTCACTTTTGTTACTTTATACAAAAATTATTTTTTAGTTTATCTTGAAATAAAATATCCAATACTTCGATATTCTTTCTATATTAAATCGAAGACAATGATCTTATTCGTCACAAATAGACAAGTATTCAACATAATATAATAAATCTAACATTTTATTTAATCGTTTAGATAAGTTCCATTTAGGTTGGAATTGAAATTTTCGCTTAACATCTCGTCCAGTATCGATAGTCTTAAAGATTTCGATATATCGTATTCAGTAAATTGTTTGTTGCTATCTTCAATTTAATAAAAATCAGTGTAATTCATAATTCTTATATGTAAGTTTGTAATTTAAGTATGAATCATGATAAACTTATTAATAAGTGTGGATATAAAATAATAATTTTAACATCTACTAAAATATATAATATTCATTTTTACCTTTAAACTATATTTTAGTGATTATCAAGATATTTTTATAAAGGTTAAGAAATTATTTGCATTAATTATTCATATTTTTGATACTATATGCATGTTTATAAATCAGTTATCTCTCAACTTAAAATATATTTAAAAACTGGTTCATTTAAGTTCTAAATTTCACAGATTTCTCCAAATATTAAAAATTTTTCTATTCAAAAAATTTAAATACATTAAAGCAAATGTATCAAAAGAAAGTAATTAATAAAATACCAGGTGATCTACCACCTCTTTCAAAAAAAGAAAGTCAAGGATATATTGAAGATTTAAGGAACAAACAAAAGAATGAACTAGAAGAATTATTAGAAAGACAAAATAAAATCCTAAGTAATAAGTAGGTAAGGTCTAAGATATAAGATACATTATTAATCTACTTTTTGACTGACATATATTTTTTTGATTTAGAACATTTGTATTAAAGCTTCCAGACAAAGGAGAAAAAATCAAATCTTTTTGTGATAGAATATTAAAGGAACTAGAACATAGAAATGAAGTTGAAAAAGCAGCAAATCTTTTGTCAAAATTAAATTTAGCATCTGAAGGTAAAGCTGCTATGAATGAATTAGAGTGGACTGGTAAATATAATGAAAATAAAACTACTATCAAAGTTATAGAACTTGATAGTGGTGATGAAGAAGATCCTTTAAAAATATTGGCACAAGTTAGTTTCATACTCCCATAAATTATATTATATTTTATAGAATATATTTTAATATTTATTGTTTGCTATTAGCCTACAGGATATGGTGTTCATAAAAAGAAAATTACACATTTGCCACCAGAAGAAAGTTTAATTAAACCTGAAGATTTGGCAGAAATAGAATCTTTCAAAATCAAAGCTGATGAACACATTACATATATTGTCAACAAAGTAGAAAAATCTCTAGAGGATAAAGATAACAAAAAAAAACCATTCAAGCCATATAAAACAACCAAGTCCAATGTACATGATCCAGAAAAAGAAAAACAAAGAAAACGGAATAAACATTGGGAAGTTACAGCAGCAACACCACCACTTATTGTTCATGGTGCAGCAAAGATTATAAATTTAAATGAATCCCTAAAAATACAAAAAGAACAAGCTGAAACATTTCAAGTAATTCTATACTATTTTTAATATTTATATAAAACATATCATTACACATTTCTGTGCTATTCGAAATATATTATTATGCACTAAAATAAGAAATTATAATAAAAATTGCAATGTCATTTTTTAGAAAATTCAAGCTAAACATGCAGCAGAAAGATTAGGTGAACAACTTGGTTTACATAATATTGGCCCTCCACCTAATAATGTAACTGATTATCGTCTGCAACATGATAAAGAATCTGATTCTCTCACTTCAGAAGATGAAGAAAATGAAGTACACGATGAAGAAGATAATGATAAAGGGGGAACTGTTGTTTTTACAGTAGATAGTATAGAAAGTTAATTTATTTTGTAATGTATATAACCCAGTATTTTGTAAATATGTTCATGAAGAAATCAATTTAAAGAAAACATATAATATGTGTAGTCTATAAAATTCACGTGATTATGTATCATTGCACTATTGGACATTCAAATACTACATATTATCTTCTTAACTACAGTAAAATTAATTGTAAAACTAGAATTTCGTGCAACATTGCCTGACATAAACAATATAATATTATCATCTATATCTGATGATGTGTTCCATCATACGTTCTGCATGAATAAATTATAATTGGTTTTTTATATTTTTACCACTGCAATTGTGCCATAGTTAAACGATTAATCATACAAGTATAATCGTGATCATTTGAAATATAATATAACTCAAAATAAAATGTTTATGGAACTTTATTATTTTTACAATTTTTATATTAATTGTATCCAAAATTATTAATAATAGCTGTGTATGGAGCAGTAGCCTTTGCCACTGTTTGTCCAGCTTGTTTGGTGAGTTTCTGAAATAAAGAAAAATATAAAAAGTAAATATATTTTTATATTATTTATATTTACAATGTTTTTAAAATTACCTTAAGCTTATCTCTCTTTTGAACTTCCAAAATCGATCTGACACGTCTCTTGTTTTCCAATGTACGTACCACAGCCTTATATTTCCATCCAACTTCATGAGATAATCTACCTACATGACAGTACTTAAAAAAAAAGAAGAAAGAGAAAACACTATTAAAATAATGCATTTTTTTTAAATACGATATAAGCACATATTTCTTTATTGTATACTCAGTTAAATATAACATCATAATATATAAAGTAAATTATACTCAGGCGCAAATTACCATTCCATCATAGTAAATTACAAAATATATTAATAATTATATTTCAGTTCAATATTTTATCTTACCTTCCTACCAGGTTTAAGACACATAACTCTCATGGCACCTGGGACAACGACACGTTTCCTGCGATCATATGGTGGTGGACAACCTTCATAAACCTTCAACCTCCTGAGAGCATCCTTTCCTCTTTGTGTCTTGTGTGGGATCATTCCTAAGGATTAAATGATATTTTTAATATTATAACTGTATATTAAACTTTTTCTATAATTTATGTTAAATAATCTCATATAAAAGTCTTTTTTCATTGTATTATCAAATAATGTAGGTAAAAAATATATAATCATCGATCAATATAAACTGTAAAATATTATGTAAGTAACTAATACTTTATCATACCACGAACTGTTTTCCAAAGTATTTTACTCGGAGCACGAAAATGAAAAGGTCCACGAGCTGGATTTACATTACATCTTTTGCGTAAAAATGACATAAATTTCAACTTGTTTCTAAAACAGAAGATTTATATAAAATATAGTACAATTATATTATAAATTAAAACGAATTAAAAAAACATATATTATAAATGTATAATTTCATTTAATTTTTACTAACCTGAAGAAATTGCCAGAAATGTTAAGTTGTTCACTACGAACAACAATTACTTTATTACCTTGTAGGATCGTTTTGGCAATAATAGCAGCCAAACGACCAAGTAAATGGCCACGGCCATCGATTAATATTGGCTGAAAGTACATAATTATATCAGTTAATATCAGGTTTTTTTCTATATTATAGTATTTTTAAATATCATACATGGTATAAAAAATATTTATAGTACTGAATCTTTAGTTTTACTGTAAATTAAAATTAAAAAAATGTATATACGGTTACTAACAACAAATAGCACATGTCAAGTGACAGACTTAATAGATGAAGTAATTACGTCTGAAATATTATACAATACATACTATCGTAAAATAATGAAATACAGAAATTATATAATTTTATAAGGGCATATAACAAATAAGGTTGCAAGAGAACACGTGTACATGAATTCAAAAAGATACAATGTATATACTTAAATAAAAATTATAATAATTGAAAAAAGTACTTTTTAAATTCTTATACACAGTATATAAATAAGTAAAACATATTTTATAATGTAAATTACATCATACGACCCAAAATATAAAAGTTTAATATACATACCTTATTACTGAAGCCAGTCATTTTGTCACCCTACCGGAAAAGGATCCATGAACGTTAAGAAGTACGCGACCTCTTACCGGAAGATGTTGCGATGAAAATATTGTCAGTGCATCCAACATTATATTTCTTTTTCCTAAATAAAAGCATAACAAACTTAATTTGGTGTTAAATTATTAAAACGATATTGTGATTATCTTATAACATATATTTCATAATTTTTCACTTAAAAAAATTTATAAGCATAACATTTTATATATAAATGATATATTAATTTGTATATTATAGTAATATCAAAATATTTTTAAAGAATAATATAGATTTTAATACAATTTTATATATTTCAAAGAAATATTCTGTTAAAATCTATTGCAATGATATTAATAAACAAAACTACTTTTTCGTAAAGTATACAAAAATGAGTAACTTAAAGGAAGCATGAAAAACTGCCACCTGGTGTCGAAATAATGCTTTATATTCAATTTCATAATGTGCGAAATTATGATATTCAAAAACGTACATATTCTTAAATAAATGAGAAGCAGTTATGAAACAATTTAATATTTTTTTATTGGTGACGGTGGGTTTCGATAAACTAAGTATGCAACAGAGTACATTGGTTTCACAACTAAATTTTTAAACTTTACATAAATCGAAACTATCGCTGTCGTGTTAATTAAGTTCTGTTATTTAACAATATTTATGTACACAAAATTATATTAATTCTGAAGATTAAGATACGAAACATGTTAATGGTAATATAATTAATTAAATGATCAAAGTTAAGGTTGATATTAAATTAATATAACCAGATATTTGACTTCTTGAGTCCACATGATATGACTCCTTTTCTTTAAGGCATTATTAAAAAAATATCCGTTATATTTCTAATTATTATTATTTATATCATTTTATGTTTAATATTCTTAAGCTAATATCACAATGGCTCGAGACAGTCAAGACTTCCAATATTTGTGCACATATCCTTATACTATATTAGTTTGCCGGTTGCGTAACTGTCTTGAAAAACTTGTATAGTAAGTGAATTAATTTTTATTCTATATAAATCTGAAAAATGTCTATTTCTATATATGAAAAATTCCTAAAATCGCACGAGCATTGGTTCTTAATTTTCTAACGGACATACAAATTACATGTAAAAAGTTACTACTTTATACTACAGATCATGTAAAGCACACGTTTGTTTTACACATTTTCAAAAAAAAAATTGCAATCATTTTACATTGTATTTGTATTTACAAATAATATATTTTAAGTATAGTTGTGAAAAGCGAAAACAGTGCCATTATTAAATTAATTTAATTGAAAAGTGTTAAATCTTTATGTAATTATTCTTTTAAAAAAGAAAAAAAATTCTATCTATGTTCTTTAAATAAATAATCATATTTGTAAAGGCACTGCCTCATTTAATGTCATTTACAAAATACGGATGGTAAGTACAATTCTTTTTCAATGTACAAACACTTGATATAATTGATGAATATTGAAAGTATGCGCACAATAAAAAACTAATATTTCACATATATCTGCAATTCAATGGATTTGAAATCAATTTTATTTTTATCGAGACATATGAAAGATTATCTTATTAGAAAAATGTACAAATATGTAAATACTAAATTCATTAAGTAAGTGTCAGTGTTATTAAAAAGATTTATGTAATTAATTTTATTGTGTAATTTCATCAAATGCAAACATAAACACTGATACAGATCATTTTTATTAATTGCTTATATAATTAGATAATGCCTTTTTTTGTCATTTAAGATCTTAGCATGAAAGTAGCTTTTCATTTATCAACTGACTTTTCTCAAAGAAGCAGAAGTTGAAGTTGTTAAGCTATGCTTAAAGTTATGTTCCCTGAACAAGATGGGCATTTTTCTTTACATCATTCCAGGTACTATAACATATTTTCAACAATGTAATATAAACACTATCATACATTACTTCATTTTTGCTGTCATTATTGTATAGAAATTCAGGACTTGTAAAGAATACACTTCTATTAATATTTTTAAACAGTATATATCAATAACAGTTTAAAATATTTTGCAAAAATAATTGTATAACGATTTAGTCACTATTCCATCCTAAATATTGGGAATGATGTGTAAGTTGAAACTACAATAAATATTTTATATGCAAATAACTAGTAATATCATAAAATTTGGAAAAATGTATAAAAAGTATGTTAATCAAACAAAATATTATAGAATGATTACACTGTTTCCGCTTGCTACTAAATTTGCCTTATGCACTGTTAATTGATTATGTATTTAAACATAAAAAAATAACATTATTAATGTGCTTCATAATAATGGAAGTACTTTGTAGCAGTGTTTATAATGAATTGCTATGACAATCTCAAGTGTTTATACGTACAGTCTATCTATAATCTTATCTTAAGGTTCTCAGGCAATATATCCTGGCATACACAAATTTAGTGTAATGCTACAATATGAATACAGTCGGATGTTTCAGAATAAACATTATCAAATAATATTTTTAATTTTTACATTATTTTTAAACATTTGTAAGAATTACTTGAAAGATAATAATTTACATTTTTATTACTAGCATGAAAGATGCTGTTAGGGTGAATCTAAAAGAAAAGCCCGTGCACGTTCTGTCATTTTACGTACACGTCCTCTACTACTTATACTAATACGTGGTACATTTTCAGGTTCGGGACTTTCATCACTTTCTTCCGCATAATATCGACGCTTAATTTTACGTCGATTCCTAACTGGAACCGTATTGCTCTCGTCACTTTCTTCATTATAGCGAGGTCGTTTCCCAGTTCTCCTTGAATTTTGTACGGTTTCTTGATTTTGTATTTCTCTCGTTGCACGAATTCTTCTTTGTGATCTTGATGATACGAAACCTTTGTCTGATTCTTCACTATCTGTATCCTGATTATTAATTTCATGTTGAGATTGTTCTTCTTCTTCTTCCTCCTCCTCTTCTTCTTCTTCTTCCTCTTCTTCTTCACTTTGACTTTCAATGTTATTTCTTCCAGCTTTTGTTGTACTTTTTAAGCTATCCTCATGTTCGGATGTAGAGGCTAATTTTCGTGATCTTGTTCTGCTTCTACTAATAACTTCTTCTTCGCTTTCTTCATCTGATAACTCATTTGCAGTAGATGCTTCATCATCTTCATAATTAACAGCTTTTGAATTTTCATAGAAGCTTAGCTTTGATTTTGATTTTACTTGTTTATTATTTCTGTTATTTTTTGCACGATTTTTTCGAGTTTGTTTTCCACGTCCAGTGGGTGTATATACATCTCCAGAATCACTATCGACACTAACACTAGGTACCATTTTTCTTGCTCGTGTCCTTCTTACAGGTACACTACCACTACTTTCACTTTCTGTGGAAGCTTCTGAGTCACTAGCTTCACTTTCACTTTCTTTTGGTTTTTTAGGTACTGTAGATCTAGAAATTCGAAGTTTTAAAGTAGGTCGTGTTGCATTAGTAGAACGTTTTGTGTGTCCATTTGTCATACGTGATGGCCCTATCAAATAAAATAAATGTTAATCAATCTCATAGAGTTCTTTTTTACAAATTAAATATACAACATATTTTAAAAATAGACGAATAAATAATCATTGTCTTATATATTTCATAGTTAAATGATTTGAACATAAAATATACATATCATATAACATAACATATACATACCTGGTGCAAATACATTAGAATTATTTTTTTCTACTTCTTCTAAATCAACATCATCCTCTTCACTATTTAACTCGTCATCGTCAGAACATGCGGATTTTGATTTTGAAGGTGCTACATATTATATTAATTTTTAAAAATTTTAACTTCTAATTTATTCTATTAAATATCTTCAATCAACAAATAAAAACATACCCGTGCCGTTTGTTAACCGAACTTTACCCCTTCTACCTTTTCCCTTTGTATTTTTTGGATTATTATTGCGTCTTCTAGCAGATTTCCAATTTGAAATAATTTTTCGCATATGCTCTTCAAACATTGCTGATAATCTTATTGTCATTAAATATATCTACAACAAAAATTACATCATCGTTTTGTATAATACTTTGAATATTATTATACAGTAGAGTAATAAATATAGTATACCCTTGATCGCTTATTAGTATTATAATTTCTGCTATTTGTAAATATTAATCGCATATCTTTGGCAAATTCTAAAGGAGTTTCATAATTTCCACCTAATAAATCTTCTTTTACTGTACGTAAATCCATTGGTGTATCTATAATTTGATGATAATCTGGATGTTCTAATCTATCTACTGGTTCTCTGTAAAATATGAAATCAAAGCTATTGCAAAAGCGTGCATTTCTAGAATTTATAATAAATATATTATTGTATATATGATCTCAATGAAAGATTACACAAAGGCAAGATAAAACAGAATGTGTTAATGTGTTAAAATTAATCTGTCTTACCTAAAGGGAATAGAATCCTCACATTGCCACAATGTTTCTAATAATTGACGACATGCTACTTTCCAATCATTGGATACTTCTTGTGAACATATATTTCTACTTGTAGTTGCTCTCTGAGTACTGGTTGATGGTTTATCCTTTGCATCTTCTACGTCGACTTCTGATTCAGAAGAATGGTATGTGTCAACCAGTTGATGATAAATGGCTGGTACATCTAATTCTGTAGTTTCTCTGTGTAAATTATAAATAATGTATTTTTGTTAATCATAGCGGAATAAAATTAAAATAAAATATAAAAACAAATTTTTTATGAATATTTTTGTAAATAAATAAACTAGATCTTACTTTATAATACGTAAACATAAGTCGGTAACTATTCTTGCATGTTTTACTATTTGACTATGTGGCTCATTAAATTGTTCCGCGTTTGTTGCTAAATATCTAACATCAAACTGGGCAGATGTTATTCTCCGATAGAAATGATTTTCGAAACGAGCTTTTATGGTTGTTAAATCGATAGGATATTCCACAACAAATGCATATGAAGGATATGCATTGAGATCAACAGGGGCCATAAATGGTTCTGCAATCGCGAGGCTCATCACTTGATCTAATCCACGTATAATTCTGCGACATGTTGCTTCTCTATCTCCCATTGGCCATTCTTCAGCATGAGGTTGATATAGTATTGTTTGTATCTCTTCTGGAAGCACAGGAACTGCTCCTCCAAGTTCTGCAGGAAGTCCTATAACAGATTAATATAAATACATTACATAATGTTTATATTTAACTTTATAAATATTTATATCTGCCATATATATAAAAGTAAATTTTAAAATTTTCCAAAATTTCCTAATACTTTTTCCAATATTTTCTCAAAAAATGTTTAGAGTATTAAGTTATATATTAAAAATAGACTAATACTAAAATTAAATTGATAAAGCTTTTAAACATACTATTCTCATCAATTGGTTCAAGATCCCAAGGACTCATTCTTTCATATTCTCCATTATCCCACCTGACACGAAAACACATAAAAAAAGATTCTGGAAAATCTTCATCTAAAGGTTCCATTGATTGTATTTGACCCATCCACCAGCCATCATCAATCATACAACGAAATCGATCTCCTTCAGACCAACTACGTGCCAAAGCTGTATCAAATGTTTGACGTAAAACTAAAAAATCTAAAACATCAGCCATATCGTGATATTTAATAGTGAAATTTTCTCCTGTTAATCTTCCATCTTCATCCATTAGTGCCAATTTTAAACAACATAGCCGAGGTGGACGTATTTCATATTTAATACCTACTACTTTTACAAATTCCTGGGCCTGGAAAATAATGAATGTTCTTTTTTAAATAATTAACGTTGAAGTTATAATATTCACAAAGTAATTTGAAAAAAAGAAATCTTACTCTAATATTGACTTTATTCCATGGTTCACATCGTGGGCCAAGTTCATATACCTTTTTATTCCTAACGGCATCTAAGTAGAACTGGTGTCCTTGTCGAAAATATACTATTTCATCACCCATTTGTGGGTAATAAGGAGCTTTCCTTGGTATTATTTCAGTGAGCCATTCTGAAGGTCTAAAAACTTCTGGGATATCATCGATGCTAGTAGGCAACGGAATGTCCTTTGAATAAAAAGAGAATTTCAGAAAAGAAAAGACGAAACCTATTTACAAAAAACATTTAGTTACCTTTTTTCTAGGTCGTCTATTACGTCTTCTATCCATATCACTTGGTGGAGTAAGAGATCGTTTTTTTACAGGTTTACGTTTACTCCGTTTAGGTGGTTCTAAATTTAAACCATGATCAGCAATCCAATCTGAATATTCAGTGCTAGACTCTGATGTTGAACTATCAGAACACAAATCTTCTTCATGAGCAGTAGAATCATTACTATTACTACTAGCTGAACTTCCTGTTGTTCCCGCATTATCAGGATTCTATAAATATATGCAAATTGTCGAATATCAATTAAATATACATGACTTATTATAAAAGATTACTTAGCATTGTAAATCTAAATTAAGGTTGTATTAGAATTACCTCAAATTCATCATCCTCTTGTTCTTCACCACGTGTAGCTCTAGTTCTGTAGCCATGTCTAGTAGTTCTACTGCGTTTCCGATTCGCTATTCTACTACCTATATTACCTTCAGTACTGATTGTATTTGATACTGGTTGTGGCCTTTTTCGCATTTCACGTTTTAAATTTTCAAGTTCCATTTCCGCTGTCGCATGCCTGTAAATATATCTTTATTTATTTATAAATTTATGCTACTTTTAGACATATTAAAGAAGAACTAAATTAACAAAATAATTTGTAATAGTCATATAAAACGTATTATTATTAATATATTATTATGAAACGTACAAAATTTTAAATTGTGTTTCCCTAACAGCTAGATTCATTGGTCGAGCAAGAATAGGCTTATTCCAAGGTGTAGTATTATCCCTTTGCCAATTACCACTACTTTGTCGTACACCTTCAACATCACCAGCTCTTCTTAAGCCAGATCTACTGCCTCGAGGACTAGCCATTTGACGAACTGGTTGTTCTGCTGCATTTTCTTCTCTCTCATCAGCTGCACTTTCTGCATCAGCATTAATATTTTGTCTTTGTGCAAGAGCTTCGATTAATTGATCGATATTGGACCGTGGTTCCTGAGCTGGAAGACCTTCTATAACCTCTTGCATTCCTTTAAAATATAATACAGAATTTTTAAATTTTAGAAAAATTTTGAATTTATGTAAAATAAATAACAGTAAATAAAAATAAAATAATGTGTATACCTCCAGCGCCTACTGCAATATTTGGTACTAATTGTTCTCCTCTACAATTTTCTCTTCCAGGGACCAATCTTTGTAATGCTGGTGGATAAGGATTACCATCAACATCTACTAAAAATGGTGGAGGCATTAAGTGAGGTGCAGTTTGTGTCTGTTCATCCAAAACATAATTATTTGCATCTCGCATTAAAGGTCTATAATCCGTATGGAAAAACAACTCTTTGGGTACCTATATAAAAATAAAGTAAAGAATTTCTAATGTGTTCATAAGTATAACAAGAAAAATTAAAGAGACATAAATAATAAAATAATAAAATAATAAAATAAACCATTCATTCAACATTAAAAAAAGGGAAAAGAAAGAAAGAGTAACAATACTTACTATCTTAAGTTTTTCAACACCAGATCCAAATCCATATATTAAAAGATGCCCATGAGAATCTGTTGCTGCTAACATTGTCCCATCTGGAGACCACTTTGCATCAAAAACAGCACCATTACCTTGTCCTTCAATAAAATTTTGAAAACATACTATTGGTTCTGTATTTAGGACATCCCAAATTATAAGTTGTCCATCATGCCCAGCACTTAATATAACACGAGGATCTATTGGATGTGATTCTAACACAAAGACTTCATCTTTATGTCCACGGAGAATTTTCACCAATTCACCTGATTTTGCATTCCATACTTTGAGAGAACTATCATTTACAGCTGTAATAACCCATTCATCACTAACATCCCAGCTAACCATAGTCACTTTAGCTTTTTTGTTAGAATCATCTTCTGTTTCTGATTCTCTGAAAATTATAAATAAAAAAATAAAAAGAAAATAATTATTAAAATTACGTGTACAAATATTTATTGATCACTTTGTAACTACAATGTTTGAATTACCCAGGAAGTTTTGTTGTCATCAATAAACGTTTATACATCCACTGTTGTTGTTCAAAATGCCAAACATTTGCAGTACCATCTTTAGAACCAGAAATAAACTTTAAGCCACTATGTGCCCATTGAATACTATCAACTGTATCAGAATGTGCTTCCACCTCTAAAACTCTACATGGACCCTCATCTCCTAACATTGCATATACTCTAACATGATGATCAGCCATAAATGCTCCACCAGGACTGAATGAAGCACATATCATTTGTGCTTGACCAGGGCGCATTTTTTCATGGTACTGAATTGGTTTTGGTCTACAAGAAATATAATGTTAAATTTCATTATATATACAAAACGTCTAACATAAAAACTTACTGAAAAACTGCTCTTTCATTATTTTTTTTTGTATGAGACCAAAAAGCAACAGATCCATCTGTACTTGTAGAAACTAAGTAATATACACCATTACAAGATATAGGACAAAAATTTACAGATGTAATCATACCAGAGTGTCCAGATAGAACTGCAACCTGATAAGAAATTATCAAAATAAATTTGACAAATATTCTAATGTAAAAGTAGAATATTATTACTTATAAACTTACAGGAGACATAGTTTGAAAACACCAAACTCTTAGCATTCGATCTAGACTACCAGCAGCAAGTAGAGTATTATCAAAATTTACTGCAATATCCATAATTTCAGCAGATGCTCCTCTGTAAGTTGCTAATAATCGTCCATCTATAGAACTCCATACTTTAACAAGTAAATCATCTGCACCAGTGATTATATATCTTCCAGTACGATCAAAAAGAACACAATATACTGCAGATAAATGTCCTAATGTATGTCTATATAACTGCATTTTATTGTAAAACTTTGTTGGTATTGCCTCTCGTCTACTCAGAGGACCGGAATTCTCCCGGCCTTGAAGTACACGTACTATATAAAAAAAGAAAAAGTAATATAACAGTAAAAGGTTTGAAAAGAAACCAGAAATATTTATATATATTGAATTTGCAAAGAATAAGTCTTTTATTTACCTATATTAGGCACCGATAAACTATAAGGTGAATCCAAAAATGGTTTTCCACCTCGTCTGCCAGAATATGAAATAATGCCATGCACTTGACGTTGGACATCTAAACAAATTTAAGGTATTTATGTAACAATCAAATAATTTTAATAACTATCTGAATATATTTATAACTTTCATCATACCTTCGTGTGTACGTAATAAAGATTGTCTGCCAGCTCCTAAAAGAGATATTGCTCCTGGTATACATGGAGGCACCTCTTTCTCCAATACTGGTCCAATTCTGGCACATATTTGTAATAAATGATTTGATCCAATGTGAGAATACTTCTTTTCCTAAAATATTATAATTTACAATTATCTTTTACAATTATATTTTACATTACAAATAACGTTATCGAATAAATATAAAAATATATTCAAATATTTATATCACATATATTAATGAGAAATCTTTCGCCACGTAACTGATTCGCGCTAATAATTGAAATTTAAGTAATTTAAAGTAGTTCCTATTTGTAACCAATCAGAGAACAAACAAGTAAATGCAACCAATCTGAATAACCCACTCGTCACGCACGATACTAGTTTCTATAAATAAGGTCTGAGCATGAGATATATTCATTGATCAGTACGCGCAAGATGGCCGGAAGTTAATGCTTATTGGTTGAAAGTAATATGGTGGGGGAATCTTGTGCAGCAGCAACATAAAGTCAGAGAGGAGGAGAAGGGTTGAGGAGTGGGACAGAAAAGGGGTAGCACCCTATTAGGGGTACTTCGTACATTCGCATTTGATGACTAGCTTATGCGCAACAAAACAAAATTTACCATAATGTTATTCCACAAAGTAACCTATTTATTCCATCTTGTATGATGAATTTTTATACACGAAACGAAATTTTCTTCTAAGGTATTACTTTTACTTACCAACTCTTCAAAGGTTTGATTATGTACATCCCCTTCCCAATCTAGTCTTCGGGGCAAAACCTATGAAAAAAATGAAAAACCATAAAAATAAGTCGATTAATCGATCAATTATACTCAAGATACAATTGTGCCAATTTGTCGAACATCAAGGTCGCCGACCTTGAAATTCTAATGTTTTGACAAGCAGAAACCACGTGCAAACCATGTGGAGCCGATGGGTATGTATAGTGTCACCCCGGCAAAACGTCAACTCAGACCAATCGTCTTACCTTAGCTCGCTCCAATTCACGCTTCAACACCTAGAATGTACATTTCTCATCACGATATGTTACAACGAAATTTCATAGTTTTTAATTCGAAAATACTTACGTCTGCGGCTCCGCGACAAGGTCCCGCCGCTAAGAATTTGGCAATTAGGAAGTACAGCTCTGTAAGAAAGAACGCTGCTTAGGAACGAACCGCACGCCTCGCTTCGTTGCGGATGGTAAGGGCGCTTATCGCTCCCATTCTTTACCTGGTGCTATTGCAGTCTCGTTCTTCGTCATGCTGCCCTCCATTTCGCCTGACCAATCGTTTATTATTCACTCACAGACAAAGAGAAACATTTGCTTTTTAGGGTCATAGCGCGGCAGTAACCATTTCAGATTTCATTTTCTCTCTCGCGAGGTCTCGACCGCGAGACGCACACGCACGCTCACCTCCTCAACGGAAAGTAGTCCCCCCCTACCCGATTGTCGACACAACGTACCGTATTATTCAGGGACGTAACTTGTGTCCCAAAACCCTGTATAATTTTATTTCAATTTGTACCCCTTGAGGACAAGAAATCGTTATCTTCTTTTCTTTTACATTTCAATAAAGAACAAAATTAGATAACTAGTTTTCACATTATTACTATCGACTTTAATTAATTATTATTAATAGTTTTCATTAGGTCAAAACATATTTGTGAACATCTGCACCATGTAACGCGGTTTATTTGAAATTAAAAATACAATGACGGAAACCGCAATTATAAGAAATATGAAAAAAGCAGACAATCTTGATTTAAGACTAACATAAATTAAAGCAGGTTATAAATTAAAGTTCGTCGTAATTGTTATTATCTCATGTTAATAAGTATTAATTAATTATTATTATTGTATCTTTTGTAGAGAAATAGAAAGAAATGTTTACTTAAAACGTTTGTAATTCTACAACGATTCAAATTAAATAATATATAATGACCATGAAAATTACTATTAATAAAAGAATATTAATGTTCTTATATAATTTTCTATTGTTTTTTATTCAAATTTTATATGATATTATAAAATATAAACGTGTAAAATTTCTTTTTTAATTTCAGTCATATAATTGCTTTAATACTATGATAATATTTACATTTATTTTGTAATATGATATAACATAGAAATTTTCATGCATTATGAAATCAAATTCTGTTTATATTTTTCATAAACAATCGCTAAAACTAATAAAAATATTATTATTTGATATTATTATATGTATTTAAATACTTACATATATTTAAGAGGAATAAAAACATAATGTGCATTTTTTCACAAAAGCTAAAACTTCAAGATGGACGCTAGGTAACTCGATAAACTCGAAATATCGATGTGTAACGATATGTATGTATATACATACTTGATATATAATGTATATGTATGAGATACCACGTATGTAACTTTTTGAAAGTTTTCATAATTCTGGAAAAATTGTTAATAAATATAAACCATTATATTAATGTATGTCTCATAAAGATTAAGAATATCATGTAATAAATTCTTATAATTTTTGAAAACGATAAATATGTGTTTCAAAATTCTAATACGGTTAATTGTCGACGTGTCAGTAGGATAATGATTTTCATAAATTTTTTCATAGACTATGATATGTCGTAAGGTATTATTTAATACTATTATTATCAAAAATTATACAATTGCAAATTTAACGTAATCCAACAATATTAATTTCATAACAATATTTTGAAAAATATAGTAAATATATAAATTACTTGGTAGAATTTTATATAAAATAAGATTATATAAGACAGTTTTGAATATTTATTAATTTTCATGTACAGAAATCTCTATTTAATATATCTTATCCATTATTACTGTGAAATAAATTGGCTACTACTTTAAGGAATCTACTTAAAATTTATGAACAATGTCATGGATAAGAAATAACATTTTAAGTTGGTTTCAACGTTTGGCTATAAGAATTTTAAAAACTGGGCATATTCCTAAGCATGTAGCATTTATAATGGATGGTAATAGACGTTATGCAAGTAAAACTAGAATAAAACATATAGAAGGACATACAAAAGGGTATGTACTAATAAAAAGAATATTTTAGTTTATAAATGTAATTATGTATTTTATATGTTTTATACTAAATTTATACTAAATTGTAATTTTTAAGGTTTGATAAATTTACTGAAACTTTACAATGGTGTGCATACCTTGGTATTGAAGAAGTGACTTTTTATGCATTTAGTATTGAAAATTTTAAAAGAAAACAAGAAGAAGTAAATGGTCTTTTAGATCTTGCAAAACAAAAATTTCAGAGATTATTAGAGGAGAAGTATATTGAATCTCATTTATGCATAAGAAGCATTTTAGATAATATTTATGAAAGTTATACCATGTAACAATTATTTTGATACAGGGATGATATACGAGAACATGGATTATGTGTCCGTATAATTGGTAATTTGTCACTGTTACCTCAAAATATGCAAAAATTAATAGCAGATACTATGGTTTTTACAAAAGAACATAATAAACGGTTTCTTAACATTGCATTTGCTTACACATGTAAGTATAAGTAAATAATGTAAAAAACATTACATAATAAAAAATCAAATATTGTTTATATTGTAGTCAATTTAGTCAAAATTATTTCATCAATAGTTAATAATCAAAATTATTATAATACTCTGTTAATATATGATATTTTAGCAAGAGATGAAATTACACATGCAATTAAAGAAGTAATTGAAGGTGTTCAAAATGGTAATATTCTTTCTGAAGATATTGATGAGAATCTAATTTTTAACTGTTTATATACTAATAATTCCCCAAACCCTGAATTATTAATTCGTACTTCTGGAGAAGTTAGACTTAGTGATTTTCTTATGTGGCAAGTAAGTTTAAAAATTAAGTATTCTGTATCCTTCCTTTTTAATATATTCTTGTTTAATAAATTTCAGATATCAAATACATGCATTTATTTTAGTAATACATTATGGCCAGAATTTAATCTATGGGAATTTCTCAATGCAATATTTTATTACCAAAGATGTTATTCTGACATACAAAAGATTACGAAAATGCAAAATATAAAACCAATAAAACAAAATAGCAGACAGTCAACATACATAGACAAATTGCATCATAAACAACAAATTGCACTTGAAAGAATACATTTATTAAATATTTAAATAATATGTATATTAAAAAAATGAGTTTAATTAAAATTAATTAGAAGCAAAGTTAGATTATATACCATTATACATCTAAATAATCATGATTCTTTTTTAAATATTTATATTTATGTATATACTTCAAAAATATTTTTGTACATTTCCTTTTTAAATATTATACTATTATTCAAATGTACAAGTATTGTACATCTATAGATTTTATTTCATTCTTATTAAAAAAAAATAACATACTTTGTACATAAAATTATACATCATTTCTTTTATATTGAATAAGTTTGTTTTAAAAGATAAATATAATGTATATAACGTTAGAAAGACGTAGAACAAAAATAGAAATGTTATGCATATACATAAATTCATTATTTTATTCTATTCTATGTGCTTACAAATTTGTATATATTTAGAATGTATTTATATGTAGGTGTGTGAGTGTTGTGTGTGCGTGCACGCGCATACGTGGATGTGTGTGTATTTATTTATAAAATTTGTAATTAAGATATTTTCCTGAAATATCCCCATATGTCATATTTGTTGTAGTATATTATATATTTGGCTTAACTTTAATACTTCTTTTACTCTTTTTAAATATACTATTTTCATACATTATATTTAATAATGTATCATTAATAAAATTCTTTTATACTTTAAAATATTTAAACATAAAACCTTCAGTTTGCTGAAAATATTATAAAGTACATATATACTAAATAAATATAATGTATCACATAAATATGACAAGGCATATTAATATTAGTGTAATTCTGGAATAGAAACATAAAGTTACATATTATTGCATTTTGATATCCATATACTCTGTAAACGCATTAAGTTTCATTATTATGCTTTAAAAGCATAAATATAAGTAATATACATGTACAATATATACAATAAGATATATATTTATAATTATATAATACATTCCTAAAAAAAATTAAAATATTTTTTACTCATTTCTTAAAATGTTTTATCAATGATCAAAAGGATAATAAAAGGTAATAAAATAAGAAATATTGGAAATGTAACTTACTTTTGTTTATATAATTGTCATTTGTTTAAAATTTAATTAAAATAAAATCATTGTATACAAATAACTCTTTGTTAGCTGCTATTTAGAATTATAGGGTGGATGACGTCTAGCAGATGGTTGTCTTTGTCTTGCTAAAAAGGATTGTCCTTGAGCTGAACTTATAGCTCCAAGACGCTGATCTAATACTTCTCTATGATAATTTAAACTTAAGCGATAGAATGCAGATATCATTAATTTTTCTTCCATTTCTTTAATTAATTTAGACTCTTTTAAAGAACGTTCCATATCTTCCATAATTTTACGTTGTTCTAATATTTGGTTCCTTAAAACAGCTACTTCATTAGGAAATGAATTTTGTTTAGGATTAAAGCTTTTTATAACACTTTTTGCTTTCTCAACATATTTTTTATAACGTTCCTCAAGTGATGCATTATAGTATTCTTGACGTGTTAATTTATCTTGAAGATCAAAAGCTTTTTGTTTTTGAGCTTGCAAGGCATTCTCTCGTTCTTCAACTTGTAAGTTTAAACATTCCTTTTCTGCTTGTACTCTCCTCAATTCATCTTGTAGCTGTGTTATCTTTTGTCCTAAATTGATATTATCAGTTTTATTGTCTCCACTTGATTGATTTCCCATTGCTTCTTCCAATCTATTTTCTAATTCAATTATTCTTTGATTAGCTTTGCGATTTTTACCTCTAAGTATATTTAGTTTTTCCTCTGACTCTTCTAATAATGCTTGAACTGTTGGTAATTTATCCTCATTTCCGTTCTGTTTAAGTTTCAACATTTTATTTTCATTCTGTAAGTATAATAACTTTTCCTTAATCTCAAGAGGAATCATTTCTGTACTTGAAACTGTCCTGTCCGTACTAGGTTTTGCTATATTTTCTGTTGCTTGCAATTGTGTACATTTCAATTCCTCATTTGTTTCTTTCAAAGCATCTCTCTCTACAATTAGTCTATCTCTTTCTCTTTGTAAAGTACTTAGTTTTGCCTCCATTTTCTTCCCTTCAAATTCAAGTTTATCACACTTATTAGTTTGTTCATCTAACTTATGATGTGCTTCAGCAAGTTGCCGTTTACAAACTTCTAAATGATCACGTAGCATTGTAGTTCGTTTTGATTGTTCTTCATAATCTATTTTAGACTGGAGATATTCTAAATTTTCAACTTCTAATATTTTAACTTGCCTTCTCAAATCACTCAAGTCTTCCATTTTTTTTTTGTATGAGTCTATCGTCTGTTCATATTTTGCTACTTTATCTGCAGTTTCTCTTAATGCATCTACTTCGTCTTTCAGATGATTAGCCTTATCTGCAGCTTTTTGCAAATCTTCTTGCTTAGATTGTAGTTCTAATACTTCTTTTTCTAATAATTCTACTTTTAATCTATAATCATCTCTGGATGTTTCTACTTTAAATAATTCATCTTTCAATGATTCCACTTGTTTTCTGAGACTAGAATATTTTGAAATAGTACCATGTTCTTCTGAATTTTCAAATTCATCCAATCTTTCTTGAAGCTTTTTATTTTCTATTACCAATGCTGCTTTTTCTTCTTGCAAAAGCGAAAGTTGTTCATCAAGTTCGTGACATTTTTGCACTAATTGTTCTTTCATATCAATAGTTACTTGAAGTTGTGCTAGTAACCTTTGTTGAGTACTGTCAGTTACATCCAAATATTCAAAATTAAGACTAGTACCTAAACTTAGCCTTGGTCCAGGCATATTACTTTCTAATTCCTGTATACTCTGCATAATTGCTTGCTGGACAGTTTCTTCCATTCCCATGATTCTTGTTATATACTGTTGCTTCTGATTGCAATTAACTGCACATCCAAGAATTAACTGTAATAAACGGCGTAGTTCATGATTATCGCAGTGTTCACCAATTTTATTTGCATCAGGTTTAATGTAACCTGGTAATTGTTGATTTAAACATTCTATATAATATTCCATTATAGCTTCAACTATTTTTTTAAGGTTACTAACTTTCAATCGCCAGTTAGAACTAACATCAGTTTTAATTTTTGCTCTCCAAGCAGCAGTAAACCATTCAGGTGCAATTTGAGCCAAGACATCTGCTAAAGCAACACCATCGCTTATGTCCTCTGCTGTTGAATGAGGAACTTGAAGTTCAAATGTATCTAACCATTTAATTAAGTTATTTAATTGCTGATCATCCATTGTTATTTTCAATTTCAAATGTATTGATTAAATCGTAAAAATATCTATATATATTCTGTCATATGTAACAATTCTATGATAGATATGATAGATAACAATTTTCTTACAAACCTTAACTTGAAAACTTATTATTTATCTTTTGAATAATCAGTGTAGAAAGTAAGGGAAGATCTACCATTTTTGTACCATCTATTGATATTGTCTACTAACTTAGTCATAAAAGAAATATTTTAAAAATTATACCAAAATGTTACTTTGACATTCCTTTAGGGAAAATAAAAGTAGAAGAAATGCTAGACTACCTTAAGTTACTTTCTCTTTTAGTTAGTTTTATTGTAAACTTACGGAAATTGTATTTTATCTTTAAGAAAATATATGTTGGTAACAGTTATTCACAATATATGTTTGTCAAATATTACCAATCGTGTAATGCAGAAAAATCTATTCGTTCAAATACTCATTGGTTACATGAATTAAAGTTTGAAATATCCATTGAAAAAACTACTGATGTCATAAGTGAATGAATATTTCTTATGTGCGTAAAAATGCATTCTATACGCCTATTTTTGTAAAAAATAAAATGTATAAGATTACTTTTTATTAAATTAGTTAAATTTGTTATAAATATGTTATAGAAGGTTTGTGAAAATTTTATATTTGACAAAATTTCTTGATAATTGCACATAATAAAAATAAATACTAAACTAAAAATGAAAATAAATAAATATTTACAATATATTAAAAAATAATATAATAAATACATTATTTATCTTTCTGTATAATTTAGTTTCATATAGCAAATATTAATACAATTATGGCAACTGAGATAAAAGATAATTTAACAATAATAGGTGAAAAAGGAAGTAGTAATCCACGTGCTATATTTTATAAAAAACCTATTAAGAAAGGTAATTACAACTTGGATGTGGATAACATTGATACCTTTCAAGAAATTAGACGTCTGAGGTTATTGCAATTTCAAAAAAGGTATGCTTCTTATACATCTTTATTATATTGCACAAGCTATACATAAAAATACTAATGTACATTATTAGATGTAGAGAGAATGCATTTAATGTTGGGAGAGGAATATTAGACGATGCATTTAATTCTGAAGAAGATGATTTTGAAGAAGTATTAGAAATTGAAGAGGCAAAGAAGAGAAGATATCACTACTCTAAACGATATAAATATGCATATCAGTTAATGATGTCTGAATGGATGTTAGAAGTACCTCAAGATTTTATATCAAAATGGATCATAGTCCCTTGCCCACAAGGAAAAAGAACTTTAGTAGTTGCATGTAAAGTATGTTAAAAAATGAAAGCAAAAGATTTTTCTCCTCGATTATATTTTTTTTTATTTTATAGGGTATAACTAATGTATATAACAAACGTGGTAATCGCCTTGGTAAATTTTATTCAGCACTTCCTGGTGGTAATCCATCAGAACATAGAGGAAGCTGTAGTATTATTGACTGTTTATGGATAAAACAACAAAAGATATATTATATCTTGGATGTACTTGCATGGTCTAATCAGTCTTTGGTAAATTGTGATGTAAGAATTTTTATTCTCAAATATAAAAGTATTAGTTACATTTTATGAACATTACAGTTGTAAATTTTGTAAAATTGTTTGTTTAGACTGAATTTAGGTTTTTCTGGTTAAAATCGAAATTACAAGAAATTGAGGAATTACATAAAAGAAATACATATAGAAATAATTTTCCTATGTTACCTTTGCCAAATATCAGTTGTGACACTGATATAAGTTTAGCATTAGCAAATCTTTCAAATTTGTATCCTTTAGATGGATTATTATTTTATCATAAGGATGGACAATATACTAACGGTCGTACTCCACTTGTAACATGGTTAAAACCTTTTATGTTACCTGAAGTACTTGGTGTTTCTGTACCCCCACCACTTAGTGAACAACCTGATGGATATATAGATTTTGTACATTATATTTTTAATAGCCGAGCTAAAAAAAAGAAGGAAGACTCAGAAAGTCAAGTAAGTTTGTCTACTTTTGAAACAAATATTAATCAAGTTATTAACTTGTTTTTACTTGTAGATGGATATTGCAGATGAGAATTCTTAAAATTTTATTTTATTTTATTTATAAGAACGAGCTCCTTAAGGAAGTGAACTATAACTGACATATTGAAAATGTTAATAATGCTATATTTTATGAATTTAATTTACACATTGTACAAATTGATTGGTTATAACATTTGAAATCTAAAAACAATATTTTATATAAACTGTGATATCTAAAAAAAATTGTACCAAATGCAAACAAAGTATCTATGTCATATGAAAACTGCACATTAGTAAAAATTATTATATAAATTATTATTATAGTTGATATTGCATTAATTTTAAATATGTTATAGAAATTAAGCCTCTAATGTGTGTAATATATCAAGAGCTTTTTCATTTAAATATAATAAAACACGATTCATGGTATCTGGATTCATTACTTTCATCTGAAAATAAAAGAAAAAAAAATATTAAGTAAAATATATGTGAATAAAAATATATGAGCGTATTTGTAAAAATTTTAATTATTATTTATTTACTCTGTTTCCCGTTATTGAAAATGTAGGAAGATTAATCTTGTACAATGTACACAATCCCAATTGTAAACCAGCAGTCTTTAACATTTGACTATATAAAAATTCGCGGAAGTTTTCTACATGTTCTAAATTAAAAGAAATTTCAACACTTGCTTCATCACTCTGATCTTTTACAATACTAAAAGAAAATTAAAATGATTATAAAAAATATACTTTATTATATTTATACATATCGTATAATGGTGTTTTGAATAATTATAAATTACATAAATATAAGTTTTTCACATAATTCTAATTCTTTACATAAACAATTTTTATACAATAATAATAAATATTTGTAGCATTTAAAAATTATGAACATACACTGTCAATATTTTTATTAAGTCCAAAATTTTAAACTTAATTGTAATAGTATCTGAATCTGGTAGTTCTGGTATTTTATATTCCATACAAATTACATCTGTACTCTTTGGATATTGCTCTTTATTTGTTGGAGTAATCACAATTGCAACAAGCCATATTAAATCATCCTCTTGGACAGATAATGAAATAATCATGCAATCAAATAGAAGACTTAATGTGTTATGGACAACTCCAATGGCACTTCGTGTGCCACGACATAACAAAAGAGGTAATGTCACAGAATTAAAAATTGTTACTATATTTTTAGTTGTTCTCCATGATAAAAATATACCTTTATAAATGCATTTTTTTGAACTTTCTTGAATATTACTGTTTTCAGCATAAACTTCAACCTGTAATTATTTTACTTGTTATATATGTAACAGTAATAAAAGAATAAAATCTTTTACATAGTTTAAATAAAAACTAAAAGATTTAAGTAACATTATTTCACACAACAATAATTTTTTATCAAAAATAATATATAATTCCTATTATACTTTCTATATGGAAGTTTCATAAGCTAATAATACATTTATTATTATTCTTAAAATTTTTTATTTATTGATATTACCTTTATTGGTGGAGGATCCAATGGACTAGGTCTTTGTGTTACATTTTCCATAACACAAAATTCTACATCATATACAACAGCTTCTTGACTTAATTTACTTGTAACTTCTTCTTTTAATCGTTTTGCATATTGTTTTAAATGTATTTCATCTTGATGGAAATTAAATAACATAGAAACTCCAAAAATAGTCCAAGTTTTATTTAATAATTCTATAAAGCATTAAATATATACAAATATTATGGATAAAAATTTTCCAAATAAATATTAAATTAAACATAGTCTCAAAATAGTATATAATTTGAATACAAATTTTAAAACAGTTCAAATGTACTTTTTATTTCTATATAAATACTATAACAATTACATTAGTATACCTTGAAATGTGTCAATATCTTTGATATTTTCATCAGGAGTAGAACTAGTACCTAAACTAAATCGTTGTCTTGTCCTTGTTCGAGGTGTACACATTGTATTAATTATATGACTAGCGTGTGGCAGTATACTTTCCATATTATTTTTCGTCATATACAAAAATAAAATAGTAAAATAAAATTTGAATTGAAAATTTTATACTATCACTTCACAATTGTTTAAAAGTTGTTTCAATTTTGGAGCAAAACGTATAGAAAACTTTATAATGCAGTGTTACTTACAATAGGAAAATTTTACCCTAAATATAACAGTTAAAGTAACTATATTAATAATTTGTACGAAATATTATTACTACATAATATTAAACAATTTTATGAAATTTCAATCACGAATTTCACGATAAAAATTTGGAACCGATTAAAACTTTTATATATATAAATTTAAAATATACTACCTAATTATGAAAGATTCTTCGGTGTTATGCCTATGTGATGAAACATACGTATGTGTGTGTTTTCGTTAATGTCAAGAAATTGAACATCAGTGTGTGTTTATGTCATCTCCCGCGCAAAAACGTTAAGAGTTTAATGATATTTATTATTTAATTTTTCCAACTGAAGATAATATTTTAACATCTGAATGTTTGTTATTAAAACGTTATGGGTACAATAGAGATCACATTTCCGTTTGGTGGGCAACCAGGAAAAATATTGAAATGGAGAGTTCGAATGGATACGATGGTTTCTGCGGGTAGAGTGTTGTTTTTGTATCAAAATATTACATCAGGGACAGAAGATGGTAAAGGTCCTGAGAAAAAATTTCGAGCTACACGATTCGGTCGTGTTACAAAGTTTTTAGCAAAAGAAGGAGATGTTGTTCAACCTGGGTACACATTCTTCTTAACCTTACATGTATAAGATTTCTTAATACTTAATATGTCTTACATACAAAATTGAATACATAATTTCCTGTTGAAATAATGTCAATTAAGGAAATCATTTTTTTTAATAAAATTATCTACATATACTTTTACCTTATGATTTATATAAGTGATTTATATCATAGGCAAGTAATAATGACATTAGAAGGATGTAAACATCCTACTGTTATGAAAGATTTATGTGCTGAATGTGGTGTAGATTTAAGAGTTGAAGGAATTGGTAAAGAAAATGAAAGTACAAAAATATCACAAGCTAGTGTACCAATGGTACATAGTGTACCAGAATTGAAAGTATGTCCAGAACTAGCTGAGAAGATTGGAAAAGAAGATGAGCAACGTCTTTTGAATGATCGTAAATTAGCATTACTGGTGGATCTTGATCAAACAATTGTTCATACAACAAATGATAATGTTCCTCCTCATATGAAGGTATATGTATTCATATAGTAATAATATATGATCATATATATAATAATAATAACAATAGTAATATTAGTGAGATTAATATCATTAAAATACTTTTTAAAGGATGTTTATCATTATCGACTTTATGGTCCAAATTCTCCATGGTATCATACTCGTTTAAGGCCTAATACCCGACATTTCCTTTTCGAAATGAGTCGTTTATATGAACTGCATATATGTACATTTGGAGCAAGAAACTATGCACATACTGTAGCAGCATTATTGGATAAAGATGGAACTTTATTTTCTCATAGAATACTTTCCAGGGATGAATGTTTCGATCCTGCCTCAAAAACAGCTAATCTTAAGTATGATTATATAAATTTTATTTTGGATATCTTAGATGGGTATTTAAGACATATAGGTACCTTATTAAGCTAATTGCTACAGGGCTTTATTTCCTTGTGGAGATGATCTAGTATGCATTATAGATGATAGAGAGGATGTATGGCAAGGATGTGGAAATTTAGTTCAAGTTAAACCTTATCATTTTTTTCGTCATACTGGTGACATACATGCACCTCCAGGATTAGAAAAGAATGATGTATCAGTTTTACCTGAATTACAAAATACAAATGAACTTTGTAGTGATGACAGTCCAAGTGAATCAGATAAAAATGGTGCATCTGAATTATCAAATGAAGGAAGTGTAATTGATAATAATTCTAAAAATGAGATTGGAGAAACAATTGAAAATAAGGAAAATGAATGTGAGTTTACAGAAAAAGATGATGACAGTACCAAAGATGATATCGAAAATAATGTTGATCTAGATCTTGATTTTGGTAATGAGAGTAAAGATAATAAAACAGAAGATGAAGCAAAGGAAAATTTAATAACAACTGAATCAGTACAAGATATTAAAAGTGTAGATAAAAATCCTGATGAAAATAATATTACAGATGAAGATGATGATGATTATTTATTATATCTAGAAGATATTCTCCGTAGAATTCATACTGAATTTTATGTTACCATAGAAAAAGATGGTGGACGGAAATCATTAAGGCATATTATTCCACGAGTGCGAGCTCAAGTATTAAAAGGAGTACATTTAACTTTTAGTGGATTAATACCTACTCATCAAAAACTTCATCAAAGTCGTGCTTTTAAAGTTGCTAGAGCATTTGGAGCAGAAGTAGCACAAGTAACATATTACCTTTTTCTTCTTAATGCTATTTATTATTTTCATTTTAATAAAACTTTATTTTAATGACTGGTAGGATTTGTCTGATAAAACTACTCATTTAGTTGCTATTAGACCTGGTACAGCAAAGGCTAATGCAGCAAAAAAGAATTCAAATATAAAAATTGTAAATCCAGATTGGCTTTGGACTTGTGCAGAACGTTGGGAACATGTTGACGAACGTTTATTTCCACTTACTGCAAAGGTATAGGTATCATATAAATGATAAAAAAAAAAAAAAAAAAAGAAAGAAACATAAGTAAATGATTAAATTCGTTTTAATTGTTTATTTTACGTGCAACACATGATTATGTACTTTCAGGGACGTGCTTCTAGAATACCACCACCACATTGTAGTAGTCCGGAACGTATAGAGGAACCAGAAAAAAATATAGAAGATAATTTTGCTGATAGTATTAATCCGTTAATGTCATTCACACCAGAAGAAATAGAAATTATGGATAAAGAAGTTGAAGAAGATATGGATGATCAAGAATTAGATGTACCTATCTTTACCACAGAGGATGTAGACGAAGAAGAATGTGATAAAAAAACTCGTCATAGGGATTCTGATTCCGATGACTCAATAAATTATGATCGTATGTATAGTTTATCCGAGGTGTCTCAATTTTAATTTTATATGATAAATATATTAATACAAAGATATTTACATTATATTAAATTTGAAAGAGATTATAAAATTTTATTGTAAAGAAGATACAGAAATTTTATATGTCAATATTTAATAACTTTGAAACTTTTTTTCTTTTATATGTAATGGTTGTAAGTATTTTTTAAATTATAAGAAATATATGAAAAGGGATCTGAACAAGTCAGAAATTCATTGCAAATAAATGTTATATATCATTTGCTTATTATTGGAATTTTCTAATAGGAAGTAATATAAATGAACCAACAAGAAAGAGAAAGAAGCTTTCTAATGAAAGTTTGAAGAACGACAGTTTAATAAATGAAAAAGACTACACTTTGAATGATGGTAATGATGATGATGATAATGATAATGATGATGACGAAGATGAAGATGACATCGACGATGATGGTGATAATAATGATGAATATGATGATAATGATGATGATGATGATGATGATGATGATAGGGATGACGACAATGACGACGATGACGACGACGACGACGATGATGATCCTGTAACACGTTTTAGAAGAGGAGAAAACTTACCCGATGATTTAGATTTAGGTGATAATTCACAAGATTCAGTTGAAGATTTAGAAATAATGGATAATGAAGATGAACGGGAATGGAATGAAATGGGAGCAGCACTCGAAAGAGAATTTCTTTCTGAATGATCAGTTAAAAAAATTTCTTGTTTCGTTTTTATGAATTAATTATCATATTTGTAAATTTTGAACCAATGTGTTTTAATAATTATTGATTTAAAATAATGAGTTTATAGAATTCTGATTTAAATAGTTTAATGCAATTTCATAAAAAAGTTTAAAATAATGTAAGTGTAACAAAGAAGAATTCAAGAAAATTGTTTCATATTTAATTATTAAATTTAAGATATATGCACAAAAATCGTATATAAAATTACTACACTTTTAATAAATTGTAACATTAATAATTGTTCTATCATTTTTAAACAAAATGTTAATTGTATATTAATATGTGTAAATACTAAATATATAAAATGTTTTATTCATATTTAAAAATTTTTGTGTAAAGGAATAACTATTAAATGAATTGAACACTTTTATTCCTGGATATTATATCTAAATTTAAAATACTGTTAATTTTTTCAGTAAATCATTATTTATTAATTTCTAAGTTTAACATTTATAAATTATGATGGGTTGATAGCATATGGATCAGAATGTTCTGGATCATCTGTATATTTCATATAAGTCTCTCTTTCTGTAAAATCTCGTTTGTTTGCCATACGTCCTCTTTTTGGTGCTTTGTCATAATTATATTTAGATTTTAACTCTCCAAAAAGTGAAGAATCTTCATCTATAGTATCCCTAATATAACATAAATATAAAAATGTAATTTTAAGTAAACTGTAGTATATCATGAATATTTTCAAAACAAAAAGGAATATATATACCTGTAATTTGATCCAACAACCTTTTTACCAGTGATAGGGTCTGTAATATCACCTAGTGGATAAATAACATCAATAACCTATAATGATTAAACATAAGTTGAAAACAAAAATTACATTAAAGTGTCGTGATAAACTAGTAAAACATAGATTCAATATTTTATGATATACATACTTTGTGAGTGATGACACGTGTTAATTTTTCTGGTAAATTTTGTATTAAAACTGTATCACCTGTTTTACAACGTTTTTCAGGATCAGAAGCATAAAAGAATTCGTATTTGTTAAAGTACTGAAATGTGATAAAGTAAATACATAACCTCAAATAAGAATTTATGAAAATATTTCAAGTTTACGTACCATTAAAAGGTGTTGATCGAATTGTAATTGACGTACTCGTATTTTAGCAGCATTTTGTTTAGTAGAAGGTACACATACCCCTAACAAATAAGTGAGTGCTTTTTTTGTTACTGCAATGTTTGCCATCACTATTAATGCTTTTGGTGTTTCTTACTGCATAACATATGTATCTATGTATATATGTATGTATAATAGATTTAATTACAACATTAAAAAGAAAATTTGTAGTGCAATTTATTCCATAATTAATACTATTGTTGTTAATTATTCTTGTTAATTATATATAAATAAATTTATATTTATATTTTTTATTTGCCATTTTTTAAAATTATTTAATACTTTGTAATTTCATAATGTAAATAAAAGTATGTTTTTGCAATAATATAATATTTTTTATTTTTTTAATATTTCTTTGTACTATTATGATTCTGTAAAATCGTATTAATCATTATAAAAAATAATATTTGTTAATATTATGATTGTGCAAGTTTTCATTGGAAAGGAAGTATATCTGATATTTGTACATTTTGTGTATGAGACAGATTCACTATCATCAACGTTAGCATCCAAGAATACTCCAGGGAAGCATGGGCTTTAATAATAATTAATCTCTAACTACTAACAGCGCAACTCTAGTTTTCGATAATGGGGCTTACTCAATTACGTACTTCCTTAATTAATAACATCGTAAATACTGAATATAGTTCGAACGTTGAGAAGAATTAATAAGAAGGTAAACGTATAGCATTTCATTTCATCACATTATTTATTTGTATACATTTAAACGTATAATTCTACTGGTAAGGTTAGGATTTCATGATAACTTGGATCTGTGTGTCAAGATTGTGGCAAGGAAAATTACACAGGGAAGGATAAAAGTTGGTGACAGAAGAAACGTTGCTGAGTCGATAGGAGTGAACGTCCTTTGTACAAACATTTGCAATCAGATCATTGCTAGAGGCTGTAGACAATTGGTTAGAAGACGTATCAGTAGATATCGCGGCAAAATTCATGGGAGATGGACAAGCAAAAGACAAGTACGGTGGAAAGAGATTGTGGAGAGAGAAAGGGCCTTGAATCAAAGACCGGATATTTCGAAATGTATTACTTTTATTCTGTACTTGTTCCTTCTATGTGTATTACGCGTGTATGTCTATGTATATGCCTCTGGCATCTGCGAGTCGTGTTGTTATTGCGGGATGTAAAGAAGCAGGGGAATTCACGGGTGATCGCTCTGTGAATCGACGACGACCGAGCCGTCAGTCAACCAGGAAATTCCATTGTCGGCGAAAAAATCGGGACAACCATGAATCGGTGTAGTTGCTGCTTTTATTACAATGTATTTTGTATCTACGTGTCTGTTTTTTCTCGTGTCAACAATTTGTCGTTTGTAGAACCATGAAAAAGTATTTGATCGATTTAAGCGCATAAAAATATTGCTCGAAATTAGTAAAACATATGACATAGTTGTTATAAAAGTATTCATAGCATTCACAGCATTCAATTAAAAAATTGACGAGCGATTTATCGATGACGAATATTTATAATGAAATTAACAATGCCATCGGTTCACGATTACGTTTAACGGCACTGTATATAATCATGATACAAGTTTTGATTCATCCTCCTGCTTCCATTAATTCTCGTTTTTCCGATATATACGTATCTATATTTACATATAAATATGATCGCATACCTCTTTCGATTCCATCAGTCGCAACATTGCCTGTTACGTGTACGAACAAACTGCATAGCTTAAACTCTGTTCTGTTATGACCGATTATTTATATAGATAGTTCACGTTAAGTGCATACGTATAAGAGAAAGTTCAAATGAATTGCTTATTTCTGTTTCTTTTTTTGATTGTTGAAAAAAGTAAGACAATAGTATATATCAAAAAACAGATTTGCTTTTAAGTGTAAAATATTCGTACGAAGGAAATGTAAATGAACTCTGTAACATTAATTTCTATACTTGAAATACTTGAAGACACAGCTGTGCCGAATGGTAAAAGTTCGCCTCTTATTTGTGTCTTCAATCTTATTATTGTTGATAGTCGCATTTGTATCAAGACGTAAATATGTACAGTAATATTATAAAAAAATATGAAAAGAAAGATTATTCGAATTTCGAATGTAAGATCAAAAAATTCTTCGACTTTTACTTTCGATGTAACTACTGTTACTCTCGACCGGGTCGTAATGATTTTGAACGGTTCTCTTCCGGGAAGATCTCCATGGGATTTAATGGTGTTGATGCACGTGAAACAAAATGTCACGGGACATTACACTCTCTTCCGGTTCATCTGGCCGATGGCTTTGTCCATGCATAAACCTCTGTCTCTTTTCACCTCCTGCCCCACCTTTTCTCTTCCCCTCCTGTCTGTCTCTTGAACATGGTTGCTGGCCTTTGAAATCTATTTTCATTGTATGTAATAGCTTTTTGATGCCGGAGCTCAATGCGACGAAGCACGCCGAGTGCATCGTTCGGTTATTGCGGTGCATTGATTTCTGAAAGGCCGACTACGTTAGTCTGATGCACAGCGCGTATAACTCCCACTGGAAACTCGTCTTCGATGTTATCCATTTTCCAGATTGCCAGACAAAATAACGCGAATGCGTGTCGGGCAAAATACTTGGCTTTTCTGTGCTTCTTTAGCCGATAATGCGCACCAACCATTTACCACGGGCAACTTGGCGCGGCCTTTAACCTCCTCGGATCGTACACTCGTGAGATACCAAACTTCTGAAATATTTTTTCTATTTTCTTTCTTTTCTTATGGAATCATGTACGATTCATGGAAGTGTAATTAGAAAGGACACTTTTTCCCCAAGTGTTATCATTTAGTAAATTGTCAAATAAATTAATACTTAAAAAAAACTTTTATTTCGTCAAATAGGATTTTCGACAAAAGCTTTATTATATTTACACGAAAGGTTAGAATCGTATTTATCCATTTTACTATGGTTGAAACTGAAAATGTTTGAAGTCTGCGGAACGTAATAGTAATTATTTTACGTGGGTTTATTTATACGTGTAAATATTTAGGTATTTTATGCAATGAATTCATTAATAGTATTTATAATCACGCATTTATTCGCTTTCAGTTACCATATTATTTATAAATGTAAAAGAAGTCGATCGAATTAATATTTTGTAATATTTCGATTTATAATCAAGATTATTATTAGAAAAATTGATATCTTCGATCTGAAATTCACTTATGAGTTTTAAATATAAACAAAATTCGCGGTCAAGCGATAGATCGAATTAAGTAGGTGGCGCAGCGATAGAATCGATAGAATCGATATATCTAGTAACCGCGATCGAACGTAACAGTCAAGATGTCGTTTGTTCTTGGCGCGTCGAATATTGTCGTAATTTTCATAAAAAGAATTTGTAATATCACAGTGAGTGAGTTTAGTTTTAGTGTACGGATCAAGAAGAAGTGAGGACGCAACTACCGATAGAACGTATCGTTCTTCTAGATGGCTCGAAGATTCGTCGCATCAATTCGCCGGGCATTCTATAGGTAATGACGCAACATCTTCGATCAATTTTTTAGCGATATATTACGCGAATAGTTTCGAAGAGCGAATAGAAACTTCTCTAGAGAGAAAGTGAAATAAGAAACAGTCGTAAATCGGCCTTGTTTTGAGCGAACGAGATCATTGTTGTAAAGTTGCTACCTAACGAATTTATGAAAGGCTACGCCGTAGAATCTCGATTTAATAACCGCACACTTTCTTATTCCTCTCCGGTCCGCCATAATAGGTATTCGCTCGCGTGTATTTCGCGGATAGAGGGCAGGGCGGATGGGGAAAGAGAAAAGATGGTGGAAAAAGGAAAGACAGATAGTTCGAACGGCGGCAAAGGGTCGAAAACGTTGATAGAAGAGAAGAGGGGAGCCTTTCGACAAAACCGAAGGAATTCCTTTCCTCCACTTTTCCTCGTTGACTCTCTTTCAAACCTTTCTCCTGATCCTTGAAAGGAGATATCGTCGCTTAGCCTTTTCCTGCCGGTGTCCTCCCGGAGACCCTCCCGGGGTTATTTCCGACCTACAAAGGTTTGTCTGTGCCGCGGAGAGTAAGGCCGAGTATCGTGGAAGGATACAAATGCCGGCAGATGTTACTTCGTGAAAAATTCCTAGCTCGACCGAGTCGGGCGAGCGCAATTTATTCTTATAGGTGACTCCGTCGAACTCGCCGCGGCGGTCGAGTATTTCAAACGTCCGCTTTTCATTTTGCCGGCTACTAGATGGATGCATTTTAACGACGTGATCATTTTACGAAAATACGTCACATCCACCCTTTGCTTTTCGCTTCTAGTCTTCTGTCTCTGTCTGTTTGTCTCATTTTTCTTTGCGGCAGAAATCATTCCCATTCAGGGAATAGTCGGGGCGAAGATGTAACGAATATTTCAGTTGAAACGCGGTCGCGAACAGAAGAAGATCAATTCACGGAGGATTTTTATTCGCGAGTCTGTGAAACGAAAGTCGGGTTGAGAACGGGATGAAAATCTTGACGTTAATCGCGGTGGTACGTGTACGCACTCTAGGTGATATTCTCTCAGCGGCAGACATTTATTGCTCTCTAGATAATACTTTTTCCTAGGCCGTAAACAGGCCATAATTTACGGATTCTCTTCGGCTCTGGATTTTGGAAGAATAATTGTTGGAACATGTTATTATTACGGCGCGTGGCTACGTTCGTCTCTCGGACAATTTCTCGCGACTTTGACGCATAACGCGATTCGCGGTGTACCGTGCTTTGTGAATCTTTTCATTACACGTTTCAGACTATTAAGATGCAGATTTTTGCGAACAGGTCGTGAAATTTTATTTCTTTGCCAAACGGCGAAGCGCATAATCGCTGATTTATACGAATTAAAATATCGAGTAACGATTATATACTAAAGTATACGTTGGATATTTGTTACGGGAAATAGGGAAAAAAATTGTTACGGCGCTAAAAAATAAATTTTCGCAATAACAATAGCAAGTATTCCTAGAATGATAGGATAAACGGTTCAGGGATATTGGAAAGGAAAATCGAATAAGAAGATAACGTTGCAAAAATATATTAGCAATAGGGCCACGTACGGTGGGGTGCAGAGATGCAGGGGGGAATGATATTAAAACACGACGAA